CAAAGAATATTTTAGCACATTAAAAGCTTAACATGTCCTACAGATAAAAACTTTAATGCTGTGTTTCCCAAATGTGTGACCATATAACTTTATTTTTCCTCTAGCAGTGATGAGCATTTTATAGAATAATTTGTGAAATGATACTGCAAAACAGTTACCACACTTGCTGCACACATCCTCCGCTTTTCTGTGATTGAAGCCTAACAGCAGCCAAGCTACTTGACATGTATTTGGCTGATTCTCAGTTGATTGTGAATTATTTATACTAGCTACAAGCTAACATTTTGGAAACTTTATACGAAGTGGACAAAGTGATTGAGTCCAAGTATAATAGCACACCAAAGTTATTTACACTTGGAGAACCAATGTACAAAATTGCTTTTTTAAATTTTTACCTTTTTTTATAGAACCCTTTGTCCTTAAATCACCTAAAATATGGGATTTAAGTCACATTATGTCACATGTCTTCTGCTTTATAGTCTTCAAAAACACATTTCATAGGGCTGGCGAGATAGCTCAGTAGACTAAGTGCCTGCTTTGGCAAGCGCAGTGACCAGGGTTCAATCCCCAGTCCCGCATGCCGTGCTGGCCCCACACCCGGGTTGAGCAAGTGAACAGGTCTGGGCGTGGTGACATGCACCTGTAATCCCAGCACTGGGGAGGCTGAAACAGGAGGATCACTATAAGTCCGAGCTCTGTAGTGAGACCCTGTATCAAATACACAAATATATATAACATGAAAAAATTTGTCAGCTATTGTTTAAAATGTATGACATTGACATGAACAAATAAACTTTCATTTTAAAATCTGTTCTGATCATAACTAAAGTGAATGCCTATTACTACACATGATATCTTCCAGTCATTTTAGTAGTTCTGTATGGGGATAGGTATGTGGTGCTGCCGTATTATAGCCGAGCAGGTAGATTCTTAGAGCATTATAACATGTACTTCCAAGACTAAGTGGCAGAATCAAGAGTGACTTAGGTCAGTTGAATGTCAAAAGTGTGTGCCGACTGGCCACCACCATGTGTACCTGTGATTCGAGTCACTCAGAGCCACTCAGGAGGCTCAAGTGGGAGAGTCGTTTATGCCCTGTAACTTGGGGCTGGCCTAGGCAACAGAGAGACCTTGTTTCAAAAGTTCTTAAGGAAAATTCTAAGGGCCGGCCAGATAGCTCAGCGAACTAAAGTGCCTGCGTGGGCAGAGTGCAGCGGCTGGGGTTCGATCCTTGGGGCGATTGAGCCTGGGCCTGGTGGCGCACGCACTTGGAAGGCTGAAAACAGGAGGATCCCTGCGAGTTCTCTCTGTGTAGTGAGACCCTGTAGACCCTGTACTAAATACATAAAAAGGAAAATTCTAGTTATTATTTTAGACTACTTGAGAAATAAAACATATTAAAAATACAGTGAGAAATCATCTGTAGTCTCGCAAGTCAGAAATAATCACTTGAGTTCTTGCTGCTGCTTCTGTTCTTTTTAATACAAAATATACACACTAATTTAATGCAAACTGAAAATTGTATGCTACTATTTTCATTTTCTTGTCACTGAAGTTTCTTCAAAAATACTTAAAGCTGCAGTCCTTAATTAGATTGTCACTATTTTCTGTTGCTTCTTTTGCATTTTTTTACTTTAATTATTTAAGAAAATCACTTTTAATTTTAACTTCTAATTTTTACTGTTTTCACATTGATTTTTGTCACATTTGATTGACCAGTTTATCAGAACTCTTATATAGCTCATTGTACTAGTGAAACTATTTTCTTAAAATTAAGAAGAAACTTTGTGGAGAGTTATACTACATTGTTAACCTATGAGATGACTCTCAGTTTGCTTTTTTAAGCTGTTTTAATAAGCAGCTAAAATTTCCCATACTTCCTGGCAGTAGGTCTGAAATACTCTAAGATTATGAAGGATCTTTGCGGGAGCTAATTAAATATATGGTTTGTTAAAGTGTCCTAGATCTAGGTATCTGAGATCATCAACAACTCTGTAAAAGTATGATATATCTGTGATCCTTCTGATTTTTTTCATTTATATTATACATAATGTTTGCCTTACTTTGAACTTGAAGTTGCCAACTAAAATCTCAAAGTATCTCATTTTTTAATTTAGCAATTTTTGATGAAAAATATGTAATCAAATAAGTTAGCTTCTCTGTAGTTGATTGTAATCATTCTGTTTTAAACATCCTAACATGCCTTATATTGCAGCATGTAACAGTATTTTTGTTTATTTCCTATACATTAGGTATATACTTTGTGTGAAATCAGTGTTAAAAATTTATATTTAAGTGACTTGAGAATAATGCATTGGATTTGTAAGAGCAAATATAATTTGTACTTATCAGCAGTATGGTTCTTTTCCCCTTCATTTAGATATGAAGTAAATTTTCAAGATGGTATTGATTGTGGAGGTGCATACATTAAACTCCTAGCAGACACTGATGATTTGATTCTGGTATGATATTTTAATATTAAGAAAACTTTATTAAAGTTAGCATTCTTAGGAATAATTCACAAGGTTGAACATTTGGTTTCAGCTGAAATTGGAAATAACTTCGAACGTCTCTTTCCAGCATGAGATTACACAGCTTTCACAGTTTGCCTTTTGTACAAAGCTAGGTTACTTAAAGGCATTAGTTTTATAATCTTGAGCAAAATAAAAAAAACTCTACCCTATCTATAGATTTACAAATCATATGGTTCTTATAAATGCTTTTGAAATACCAGTTTAGAGTTCTCTATGAAGAATCAGGCTTACTTAGAGAGGTAAGAGAACCAGAGCAAAGTAGTGAAATAAAGTGACCACAAAGCAAAATAATAAAGTGGGCCAGTTCAGGCATTGGCAGCCGGAGAAAATAATTTTTAAAAAATTTTGTGGTAAAGGAGCCCTGTAATTCTAAAGATTATATATTATAATAGCCCATTTGAAGATTAGAGCCATTTCTTACGGCATTGTCCTGCAGTAGAGTGTGTCAAGGTTTTGGCATATAACTGAAATTAAATAAATGTGATTGCTGTGTACAACTATGTACAAGCGGTGAACTATGGATCAAAGTCTGTGTGTACTACTTACATCTAGGACCTAGTAAGAGGGAAGACATTTGTGTTGCAATTTTTGTTCTAGATATAAGAAATGATCACCTGAAGGTAGCATGACAAAAAAGTTTAATACCAAACATTTCTATAGGAACTTGATCTGATTAACTTGCTTGATCTTCAGAGAAACCTTACAGGTAAATACTGTTCTCTCCAGACTTTAGAGGTAATGAACTGGAGACACAGAGAAGGTTAAATGTTCCTAGTGCCGCAACCAAGTAGTTTAAATGGCAGTGCTAGCATTTAGACTTCAGTATCTAGTCCAGACCCTATGTTCCTAGCCACTTCCATGTCAGATAAAGAGAAATTACTACCTAGACAGGAACTGGGTTTCTGGATCTCTTTATCTTGTACGCAGGGTAATTTTTGGTGTCTTCCTGATAATAATAATAATAATAATAATAATAATAATAATAATAATAATATATTATGGTAATAAACATGTTTTCTTCAAATGCTTCTCAATAAAATGGTAATACAGATTAAGATAAAGTAAATAAAGGTTTTTATGATGTTACTAAGGTTATTTCAGCATCTATGTATTTAGGAAAGAAGTAGTATATTGTTCAAAAATATTTTTGAAGTAAAATTTCCCCCTTTCTCCACATCCTTTATTATCACTTGTGTCAAGTAGTTATTTGGTAAATTAGCATTTAATACATTTTGAAAACACCTAGCCAACTGGGTAGACAAGAAAAATTAAATACTCTGTAATTCAGAACTAATACCTACACTCATCTCTTTTTAAAGGAAAACTTTCATGATAAAACACCTTATACCATTATGTTTGGACCAGATAAATGTGGAGAAGATTATAAACTTCATTTTATCTTCAGATATAGACATCCCAAAACTGGAGTTTTTGAAGAGAAGCATGCCAAACCTCCAAATGTAGATCTTAAAAAGTTCTTTACAGACAGGAAGACTCATCTTTATACTCTTGGTATATTCTTTTAATTCATTAATTCAGAATTATTTGTTGACTACAAATGTATTCATGGCACCTGCTATGAGAGAAAATAAATACACCTCTACTTTGAAGATGTTTGTGTTTTGGGGGAAACAAGATGTACATAAAGTAGCACAGGTAGAAAATAATGTACCACATGAGAGATACACATGAGGGAGTCAAGAGTTCCAAGGCAGTGTTTCTTTCAGCTTGGATAATAGGAGAAAGCCCGCAAAGATTATATTTTAACATGTCTTCAAGTGTCAATGGAATATGGAAGATAGGAGGGGAGAGGACACACTAGGCACTGTGACCACAGTGCTATCAGAACGGGACACTAGAGAATCAAATTACAGAAGAGGCAGTAGCAACTGCCTGGCAGAAGTATTTAGACTTTGTTCTGAAGACAGTTGTGATTATTGTGAGGTCACACCTCAGGGTGGTCACAGCACATGCCCATCATAAAAGAAGTATTGAGCACCTGTAAGTTAACACCATAGTTTTACTTAAGTAAATGAGAGGTTACAAAGATCTGGGAGAAGGGCTGGCGAGATAGCTCAGTGGACTAAGCTCCTGCTTAGGCAAGCACAGGGACTGGGGTTCAATCCCCAACACTAAATGCTGCACCAGTCCCATCCCCAGGCATGCTGAGCCAGCCACTGAGACTGGACATGGTGGCACACATCTGTAATCCTAGCACTGGGGAGGCTGAAAATAGGAGGATCACTAAAGGTCGGAGTTGCATAGTGAGACCCTATACCAAATACACAAATGAAAAAAAAATAAAGCAAAACCAAAGATCTGGGAGAGAAGAGCACTGTGAGGGCTATCCATCCTGTTCCCGAGTACCCAGGTCGTAGAGCTCAAGTGTGCACTGACCAGCACGGCTGCGGGAGCCTGGCAGATGTGCTGAGCTGGCTCTCAAGTTCCCCCTCGCCCCAAGATTAAGTCACTTCTGTCTTCTTTCCAAAAGCTGCAGTTACAGAAACATTGTTTTTCAAGTCAGTGACCAGTTTTAGAAATAAGAAATCATAACCCAATCAAAAGCAGATTATGGTATACGTAAAGCAGAGGCCATTAGTGGTTTACGACCTCTGAAACAAGAGGGCCACTCTCAGCAAACGTATTCAAAGAAAATAATCCAGAGGATGCCCTATGTGAAGATAATACTAAACATTTAAAGCAAGAGTCATCTGTATAATGTAAAGATAATGATGAACATTTAGTAAGAAGGAAATACTTATACAGGTTGAGCATCCTTTATTTGAATATCCAGAATGCTTCAAAAGCCAAACTTTTTGAGTTTCCTGGTTGGTACTGAAAAAAATTTTCAGGGTGCTGGACATGGTGACACACCTGTAATTCCAACACTCAGGAGGCTGAAGTAGGCGGACTGCTGTGAGTTCAAGGCCAGCCTGGACTACACAACAAGACCCGGTCTCAAAAAATTTTTTTTCCATAATACTTTGGATTTTTAAATTTGGAATGCTCAACCAATGAGGTCTTTGCAAGTATCCAAAATAAGGAAAGCATTGAAATCTGAAACAGTTCTGATCCCATGCACTTTACAAAAAATATTCCTCCACTTGTGATATTAAAATGGAGAAAGGAAGACTCCATTTGTAGGTGAACTATGCTGGTTACTGGGAAATTAGGCAAGCAAGTAGGAAAAAGCTTGAAACAATAATACCCCTTCATCAGTTGCTGAGTACTAGACACTTATTGGAAACCATCACAGGAGCTGAGCAGTGACCTTTCTGTTTTGTCTTATTCATGCTACTGGACTACCCTAGAAAATGAGAAGCTAGTAGGGCTGAAACTCAAATTCAAGTCTGACTTGCTTTTACAAAAACTAATCCTTGTGTTAGGAATATTAAATTATTTTTTAAATCTGTAGTATTATAACATTCTGTAGTTTTGAAAAGAACCTTAAAGGTACCTTTATAAACTTTATGCCATCTGAGGCATTTTATTGTAGAGACATTTATACTATTTAATTCATTTTCTAAGTAGCAACTGTACTTGCCAAAGATTTTGAGCATAGGTTTTTCTTTACATATATATATTTGCCTTATGTATTTGAACTGTAGATTTTAAACATCAATTTCAATTGCAAAATTTATTGCAAGAACTTTTTAAAGATTATTGTGGAAGGGGCCAGACAAATAGCTCAGCAGATTAAAGTGCCTACAAGCAGGTGCAGGGGCTTGGGGTTCGATCCCCAGGCCTGCCATGCCAGCCCCATCCCCTGGGTGAGCTGAGACAGCAATTGAGACTGGGTGTGGTGGCGCACATCTGTAATCCTAGATCTTGGGAAAGCTGTAAACAGGTGGATCACTACGAGTCCAATCTAGTAGTGAGACTCTGGACACCCTGTAGACCTTTCCCTAAAATACAAAAAAAAAAAAAAAAAAGATTTTTTGTTGAATGGCTTTTGCTGAATTAAAAAGGGATACAGTACTTTTTTTTCTTTTTCTAGGCCTGCTTCAAATCTGACTCTTCCCGTTTGCTTTACCTGAGTTTTATAATCTCAGCTATAGTAGGAAATAGTGGGTGAGAAAGGAGAAAATACTGAGAGGGAATTTGCATTATTTGCTTCGTGTATAAGTTGCATTATTTAGTTTTAATATGAATCATTTGTCTCTTTGGTGACTGAAGCCTCTGGAGGTTGTTTCTTCAGAAAGTGCTCATCCACTTCACTGGCTAAGTCGAGATGATTCTGACAGTTTCTGCTGCTTTGAACCAAATGTTAAACAGCTGTGTTCACTATCTTTTTTTAAAAAAAACCTAAATTTTACTTAGGAGAAAGAGAGATTTTTTTTTCTTTTGTCTTTACAAAAAATGAGTCCTTCATGAAATTTTTGACATGGAAACTTTTAGGAGGTTAGGATTTACCTGGAAATATGGGTGAGTATTAAGCTTCAACATTTTAAATTGGGCTGGCAAGATAGCTCAGCAGACTCAGCACTTGCCTAGGCAAGCACAGGAACGTCGGTTCGATCTCCATCACCACAGGATGCACCAGCTGGGCACCCGGGGCAGGTTGAACCGACGGAGTCTGGGCACAGTGACACACGCCTGTAATCCAAGCACTGGGGAGGCTGAAAACAGGAGGATCACTTGAGTCCGAGCTGCATAGTGAGACCCTGTAACAACCAAATACTTTCAAAATATATATATTAAATTATGCTTACAACATTTTATACTGCAATTTGAAACACCATTGAGCCTTTAAAGATCTCTGAAATGATTGTAACTGTCAGTGTTAATTTCCTGATTTTGGCAGCTGGATTGGGTTTATTTAGGAGAATGCCCTTGTTTATAAAAACTATATGTTAACACATTTAGAAGTGGTGTGTAAATGTCAGTAATGTACCTACGTGGTTCAGGAAAAAATAATGAGTTCTCTGCAGTGTATTTACAACTTTTTAACTTTGAGATTGTTTTTAAAAATTTAAAAGAAGTCAGCCATGGTGACACATACTTGTAGTCCCAGCAACTCAAGAAGCTGAGACAGCAAGATTACAAGTTTGAGGACACATAGCAGACACCTTAGTGAGACTCTGTCTCAAAAACTAAAAGGTAGAAGATGTAGTTAGGTGGTAGAGTGCTTAGTTAGCATTTGCAAGGCCCTGGGTTCAATCCACAGTGCTGAAAAAAAAAAAAACCAACACTGAACTATATTGTTGTTTGAGATAGACTGGCCATGAGTCCCCAAACTATTAGGTATATCCTTTTTGAGGTGTAGTGGAGAGTTTGTTTAAAATGCAGTTTAAAACAAAATATTATCTTTAGGAAGTCTCATATCTAGTGATTTGACTATAATTTGATCTACTTCAGGTGACCTTTCTCTATTTCTGGTCAAAAGAAAATTTTGTCCATACAACTTAGGCAGTTTTATTATTTAGAAGATTTAAGATACCTGATCTTGTACTTACAAAAATAAGTATATTTTTTTTAGTAATGAATCCAGATGACACATTTGAAATATTAATTGATCAAATACTTATAAACAAAGGAAATCTTTTAGAAGATGTAGTTCCTCCTGTCAATCCTCCCAAAGAAATTGATGATCCTAATGATATAAAACCTGATGAATGGGATGAAAGACTAAAGATCCCTGATCCTGCTGCCATCAAACCAGAAGACTGGTAAGTCAAGGGTTTTGTTTCCAAGTATTAAATTTCTATTTGGAATAAGTACAAATAACTATGTAACATTTAAGTGAAGTTTATAATCACTGAAACTTATTCTTTTAAATTCAGAACTCATTATGATTTATGGGAAGTACTTTTCTTAAATGGATTGTATGTTTTCTTACCTTTACATTTTTATTTTAGTTAATATTTTTATTTTGTTGCATTTTATAATGTGTTTGTTAAACACTTCTATGGTCTCAGTCCTGTAGGGAAAAATTCCTGAGTCTAACACATCAACACTTTAATTTTTAATTTCAATTTTGTTTCTTTATCATACATATGTGAATATTTTACATAGTTACAAGTCTTCTTCCATTGATAATTTCTGGTTAGTACTTTCTTTAAAATACGTATGTCCTCAACATTCTGTAAAACTGTACAGGGTGTATAAATATCACTATACTAAAACATGAGCTTTTCGGGGCCAGGGAAATAGCTCAGTGGCTTAAGCACCTGTCTGGCAAGTGTGAGGTCATGAGTTGGATCTCTGGTACCAAAAACAGAAAAGGAAGAAAAAAAGACGAAGATACGAGTTTTTCACTTGCTGAATATTTGTGTTGTTGCCATTGTACAGGATTTTGAATATTTTTCTTAAAAGAAATTATTCATTTCCAGATTTCCTATAACTTGAGTTTAAATGGTGAGAGATACCTGTATATGTTTCCATTTGCTAAGGTACTCTTTTTCCTTCAAATATGTTTTATAATTTCCCCATAAAGATCGTATTATTTTTATTCCCAGAAATGTTTGTCTTTTTTCCCCCTGGTGATTGGGTAACTCTTAGTTTCTGTAAGTTGCTAGTTTCTGCTTTTCATATTTAATCCTGTTATCTATTGTTGTGCAATAAAGTGGAGGACTGCCTCCACACTGGCTTGGTGGGCTGACGCAGAGACATATCATTCCTCCCTGCTTAGACCTCTTTCTTGGTCTGCTCCAGTCAAGGCAGACTGCTTCCCCAGATAGAATGACCTAAGAGGAGGAGAGAGTAACCACAGGAGTCACGGGGCCTCTCAAACCCTGAGCCAGAAGTAGCACCCTTCCACTTGAGCTGTGCTGTTTGTCATACTGACCACTCCTGGTCCAACTGAGAGGGGGCTAACCAAGGGTCTGGTTATGAATGCTGAGAGTAAAAAGGTCTCTTCTTAGTTTACTAAGTGTCCCCTGTGATTGGGTGTTGGATTTTGTACTCATAAAATACTTCTTGTTAAGATAACATATGGTGTTTTCTCCTTATTTTTTTAGGATAGTGAATTATAGTGATTGACTTTTTTAAATTTTTTTTTATTTTTTAATTTTTTTTTGTGATTGACTTTCTAATACTGGAATAATCTTATAATACACTTGGTCAGTAACATTATCCTTTTTGTATTTCCTGAGTTCTATGATATTTTTTCCTTGTCAGATGCAGTTATAATTTTCATACAGTTAAATTATTTTAGATATACAGCTTGTGATTTTTGATGAACATAGTGATGTAGCCTCCTCCATAATTACAGTCTACAGTATTGTCATCATCCCCAAAGTCCCTTCTCTCCTTTTGTAATTTGTTTTCTCCTCCTATCCATAACCCCTGCGACCAGTGATCTAATTTCAGTCCCTATAGTTTTACCTTTTCCAAAATATATTAAGTGGAATCATATAGTAAATGGTTTTTGCATTTACAGTACTTCACTTGGAATAATGCTTTTGAGATGCATTAGTTATTTATGTATCAGTTTTCTTTTATTGTTGAATAGCATTCATTTATGGGGATGTACATAATTTGTTTATCCATTTGTATATGGATGATAATTTTTGTGATTTCCAGTTTTGTACAATTACAAATAAATTTATGATACGTATTTTTAGACAGGACTTTGCGTGGACAGATTTTCTTTCTATGGTAAATACCTAGGACTGGATTATTTGATGATACAGGAAATACATGTTTAAATTTATGAGCAAGTGCCAAACTTTTCTAAAACACCGTGCTATTTTGCATTCCCACCAGCTCTGTGTAAAAGCTCTAGTTGCTGAACATTTAGAGTATTTGATATTGTGTGTTTTATTCTTGTTTTGGCTATTCTATTTCTTTCATACTAAAAACTCCTTATATTCTGGATAAAGACTTTGTATTAGCTACCTGTTGGTGTGTAACAAATAATACCCAAAAGGTGATTACTTGAAACAGCATTGTTTCCTCATAGTTCTGTGTGAGGAATCTGAAAGCAGCTTAGCTGGGTCCTCTGGCGGTACACTTACAGTGTCAGCCAAGGCTCAATTACCTTAAAGGCTCCACTGCTATGGATCCACTTTCAGTCTCACTCAGGTGGCTTCTGGCAAGCTTCGGTTCCTTGAGGAACTGCACTGTTGTTGGACTGAGAGCCTCAGTTCCTTGGTAGCAGCCAGCATATTGCTACACTGTGGAGGTCCTTGTGGTGTTGGCATTTTTTAGAGTTGCCCATGCCATAGCTGCTCACTTGGGCAGAATAGCCAGAAGAAGAATAAAAGGAGCAAAGGAGAAAAGGATGAGAGGATGTAAAGACATAAATCACAGTCCATACTGAGTTAGCAGCAGCCTTCAAATATTCCCGCTCTCCCAAGCCCACAGTTATGACTTATTTTGGAAGTCCTTTGGAAATGTAATCAAGAGATCATATTGGTGGGCTTGTAGGTCATCAATACCATACAGCTGATTCTCTAAGCGGAGGAACTTTGGATAGAGACGCATAGGAAAACTGCTCTGTGACAAAAAGGGCAGAAGGTGAAATGGTGCACATACAAATCAGGGAATGCCAATGGCTTCCAGCAGCCACCAGCAGAGGTGAAGAAGAAGTGAAGAAGGCTCGATCCTTCCCACAATCTTTACAGAGCACGGCCCTGCCAACAACTTTGACTTTCAACTTAGCCTCTACAACTGTCAGAGAAAAAATTTCTGTCTGTAGAACCCACCTTGTTTGTAGCAATTACTGTGGTAGCCTCAAGAAGTTAATGCATATCTTCTTACATTTGGAAGAAACACCTCTAATCTTTGTTCAGTGATGGAAATTATTCAGTCCAGCCTATACTTAAGGGGAGGGAATGCACACGAGTATGATCCGGAGGTGGCAGGGACTGAAGACGCCTCCCTCAGACATAGGTACTGCAGTCCTGAGCATCACCGTGAGCACAAGCTCTCGGAGGCCCTGAGGCAGAGGGCCCAGCTAACTTGAACCCAAATTTGACACACAGAAATCATGCAGTAGTGGATGCTGAAGTCTTTAAGTTTGGGATCCCAGGTGACACAGCATCAGTCAGTTAATACAGCTGTGTAGTAGGCAGGTTTTCTCAGTCTATGACTTGTCTTAATTTTCTATATTGTAGACATTTTAAATTTTTGTGGAATTCAACTTACTGATACTTGTTTTTGATTATTAATGCTTTTTGTGTCTTACCTAAATAATCTGCCTAATTGAAGGTCACAAAGATTTTGTTTTCTTTATCTTCTACTAGGCAGTTTTCACTAAAACTCAGTCCTGAGTCACTTGCTTTATATAGTGTGAGGTATGAACCAAGATGCATTTTTAAAAAAATAAAGATGTCTAATTTTCCAGTATCTCTTATCCATTTAATTTCTATCAGAATATGTGCCAATGTCATGTACTTTATTTCTGATGTGGTGATTTTTTTCTTGACACATGTAAGTAGAAGCACATCAATTTAATTTCTGTGTGAAGACTGTGCCTTTCAAGTGCAAGGAGCAGGGTTCAATCCCCAGTCCTGCATGCCATGCTGGCCCCACTCCAGGCCCAGCAAGCTGGCCAGCGAAGCCAGGTGTGGTGGTGCATGCCTGTAATCGCAGCTCTGGGGAGGCTGAGGTAGGAGGATCACTAGGAGTCCAAGTTGTGTAGCAAGACCCTGTACAAAATAAATTTAAAGAGGAAAAAAAAGACTGAGCTTTTGTGTTGATTCTTCTTCTATTGTTCTTTTTCTACTTCATTATTTCTATTCTTTCATGGCACTTAGTTTTCCTTTTTTCTGCCTTATTAGGGTTAAAAAAAATCTTCCTTTTCTAAAGAAAACAGCTATAAGTTTACTTTTTTTTTTTTTTTTCAAAACCAGGATTGAACTCAGGCCCTTGTGCTTGCCAGGGAAGTGCTTATTCCACTGAGTCATCTTCCCAGCCCCAAGTTTACTCGTTTTAAAAATATTTATTTATTTATTTACTTCTTTTGCACAGGGCCTTACTATGCAGCTTAGACTCAATAGTGATCCTCCTATCTCAGCATCCCCAGCGCTGAGATTATAGGCATGCGCCAACACACCCAGACTCAGTGGCTCGTATGCTGTGCCCAGGCTTCTGGGGCCGGCCTGGCATGCAGTACTGGGGATCAAACTCGGGACCTTGTACTTACCAGGCAGGTGCTTAGGCTGCCACACTATCTCCCAACCTGTAAGTTTACTCTTAAATGCTGCCATTATGTTCCACAAATGTGTTATTTATAATACTATCCCATTCAGATTATTTTTTAACTCTTTGAGTGATTTTTTTTTTTGGTCCATCTCTTGTTAATTTGTTACATTTTAATAAATTATTTATGGATTATCAGATAAGATTTTCATTTTAAATCGCATTATACATTTTGTTTTGTATTTTGAAACAGGATTGAGTCTGAGCTGTGTAGTTGAGGTTGGCCTTGTACTGTACATGTAAGCAGGCTTCCCTGTACTTGAGGTGATCCTGTCTTCAGCCTTCCAGGTCCTGGGATTGCGGGAACGCGCCCCACGTTCCACTGTGGTCAGAAAAGATTCTGTGGCTTATATTGTTGTTATTTTTTTCACGAATGTCAAATGCTATCAGTTTGGTTGATAATATGGTTCCAGGCTTCTGTGTTTTTTTGTTGTTTTCAGTCTGTTCTCTTACCCAAAAGGAATATTAAAATCTTAACTACAACTGTGGATTTGTCTTTACTTTTGTCAGTGCTTGCTTCTTGTATTTCAAAGATCTGCTAGTAGATCCATTTGTAGCATTTCATAAGCTCTTAAAGAACTAGCCCCTTCATTGTTATCAAATGTGTTTATGAATTTTTGTAATATTTCCTGTATTAAAGTCTTCTTGGTTTGAGGCCAGGTCACTGCTCCTGCCTCATTTACCTCCAGTGCTCCTCTCCATCTCCCTCTGCAGCTTGCACACGCTGCCATCCGCGTCCAGGGCCTTCTTTCTGCCAGCCTGTCTTGGGTCTTCCTGCGCCGGGCAGTGTCTGTGCCATCCACATTTGGTGTCGTCCTTGGCTTGGCAGATGTGAGCCTACATCCTCACTGCTGGGGTCTTGTTTGCCCCCTGCGTTCTGTGATCCTTTATCTAAACTTATTTCCAGTTTCATTCTTTTGTTGTTTATTCCATTTCTTTGTTCTGTTAGCCCTGTAACTTTTCCTTTCAGGTCTGTTGTTTTACTGGTTGCTTACAGTTCACATTTATAACTGATCTCAGTCTACCTTTAAAGTATAGTACAGCTTTCTTGTAATTTAACCCTCTTTGAGTCTTGTATTTTTCCCATTATGTTGTTTGTGTTATTTTCATAATTGTGCATGGACTCTGAGGGCCGCACATTTTTATTCTTTACTAAGTGTCTTTCAGTCATAGGAGGAGAAAAATCATTTCATCTACATATTTATCATATGTAGTACTTTTCTTCCTTCAGGAAGATATAAATCTCAATCTGTTGTCATTTTCCTCCTGCCTGAGAAAGTTCCTTAATATGTTATAGCCTGTCTGTTATTAAATTCTCTCAATTTTCTCTGAAATTTTTTATTTTGTCTGAAATTTTTTTGAAGGATACTTTTACTATCAACCAGAGGGGAGTAGCTATTTTTCATCAAGTGTCCCTTTCCTGGGAGTATCCAGTGTACCTTTTGTCAGTTTTTATTCTCAACTTTTTTCCTTTACCTAATCATTTATTCTCTGTTGGCTCTTAAGACTTGTTTTTATTATTACTAATTTTCAGGTTTGATTTACTTGTGCCTTGATATGGTCTTTTTCATATTTTTATAGGCTTTGGGTCCTTTATTAAGCTTCTTAAAATGTAGGTTTATACTTTGCATCAATTTGGAATAATACTTAGTGTTATTTCTTCAAGTATTTATATGACCCTGTTTTTTGTTTTTGAGGAAGATTACACTTAAGGATATGTTAGACTGCTTTAGATCATCTTACAGATCACCAAGGATTTGTTCAGCGTTTTTAAACTAGTTTTTCTCTTTGTGCTTTATTTTGAGCATATTTTGTGTCTCTATTCCTAATTCATTATTTGTTTATAAACACTGAAGTTAGGTCCTACCTTCTGAAACACAATTTGGTGTTCTGGAGTAAAAGCAAAGATGTAAGTTGTCACCTCTTATGGATTACGAAAGGTTCTGATTCTAGTAAAAATGCCCTCACTTCCAGGCAGCATGCAGTAGAAGAGCACCTTGTACAAGGTAGGAAGGGCAGTCTGATTTTAATTAATTAAATTTAATTAAAACAAAATAAGAAAAAGTTATGTTTTGAGATTAATAAACTAAGAAGAAATTAATAAAAAGTCCTTATTATATTTTTAATAAAAGTCTTTATTCAACAAATTAATAAAAAGTCATGGCCTGTGTCATCTTTGTGCATTTATACTACCAAGAAATGTGGATGTGTTCACATAAACACCTACCATTTCGTGCCTGTTTATAAAGAGTCAGTTCGCCCCTCAGTGCAGGGACATGCGGGGCCAGCCTCTTCTGACCGGCACATGTATTCGGTTTGTTTTCTAAAATGTTAAAAGGAATATTTCTTAAATTTTAACTCTTGGTTTCTCAGAGCACTCAAGAGGCTTAGCCCAGCCCTGCTATCACGCAAGGGCGAGTCTGTACATTTATAGATGCGGCTCTTTTAATTTTAGAACTCAAGTTCTGCTTGGAAAGGCACAAGAGGCCTCTTTCAATTTTCTGTTTTTCTCTGAAGACACCATATTAGTTCTCTTCAGCACTCACCGTAATTATGTTCATATACTTTAGGATTTACTTGATAAGTTAGTGTTTTTAATAAAAACACCAGAATTAAATATGACATTTTAAAATACCTTTCAAGTGTGGCATAAAATCTTAAGAACCATGAAAACCACTAATAAACTATTTGAAAACAAACAGTATGCATATGGAAAAAACTATATCAAAAGACACACAAGGCTGGGGAGATGGCTCAACAGTCTAAGCGCCTGCCTGGACCTGGGTTCGATCCCTGGTACCTCATGCCGTGAGGACCCCGGCTGGCCCTGAAACTGGGCATGGTGGCAGATGCCTGTAATCCCAGTGCTGGAGAGGCTAACACAGGAGAGTCTGAGCTGTGTACCACATA